TGCTTCTATATTGGTACGGAGTCTTGAAGTGGGTAGAATATAGTTGTGCATTAAATGGCTGTTGATTGCTGGTGTTGAATTTTAGATGTGTAGTGCCTCGCTGATGTCAAACCCCCTGCTATCGCTGTATCTCTCGATGATTTCTGTGTTGTTTGTTAAGACTTCTCTGGTGATGGTTTGGTTTTGGGAAGAGATTATATGTTCCTTAATGGAGCCCTGTTGCTTATGCATTGTTAATCGCCTGGAAAGAGATGTTGTTGTCTTGCCTATATACTGAGTTCTTTGGGGCTTACAGTCCCCAAGTGGACATTTGAAGGCATAGGCGACGTTGGTCTCTTTTAAGGCATCCTGCTTTGTGTCTGGAGAGTTTTTCGTGAGTAGGTTGGCCGTTTTTTTGGTTTTATAGTAAATGGTCAATTGTATCTTCTGATTGTTTCTGTAGGGATAACGTTCCTATTAACAATATCTTTCAGGATCCTTTCCTCCGTTTTATGAGGTGTGGAAAAGAAGTTCCTGTAAAATAGTCTAATAGGGGGTTACAGTTGTAGTGTTAGTTGACTCGTCAGAAGTTGCATGGAGTTTCACCTTCTTTTTTATGATGTCTTCAACGAAACCATTGGAGAAGCCGTTGTTGACTAGGACTTACCCTACAGAGTTCTTCATCGACTTGCTTCCATCCTGAGCTGTGGCTGAGAGCATGGTCGACGTAAGCGTTGACAACAATTCTCTTGTACCAGTCTGGGCAGTCACTGTCGGCATTGAGGCACATTCCTAAGTTTGTTTCCTTAGTGTAGACTGCAGTGAGGAAACCTCCACTCCTTTCCATGACTGATACATCTAGAAAGGGCAGCTTCCCATCCTTCTCCATCTCGTAAGTTAAACTCAATACAGAATTCTGCTCCAATGCCTCCTTCAGCTCCCGCGTTAGGCAGGTTGGCTAACATAAGAACGGTCTTTAGAAACTTGTGTAAGGAATCTTTCAGAACATTATATGCCACATATGTCAGACCAATCCTGGAGTATGCGGCTCCAGCATGGAGTCCATATCTAGTCAAACATCAAAGTAAACTGGAAAAGGTTCAAAGGTTTGCTACCAGACTAGTACCCGAGCTGAGAGGTATGAGCTACGAGGAGAGACTACGGGAATTAAACCTCACTTCGTTGGAAGACAGAAGAGTTAGGGGGGACTTGATCACCACATTCAAGATTCTCAAGAGAATCGACAGGGTAGAGATAAAGACAGGTTATTCAACAAAAGGGGCACACGCACTTGGGAACACAGGTGGAAACTGAGTGCCCAAATGAGTCACAGAGATATTAGAAAAAACTTTTTTAGTGTCAGAGTGGTTGACAAATGAAATACATTAGGAAGTGATGTGGTGGAGGCTGACTCCATACACAGTTTCAAGTGTAGATATGATAGAGCCCAGTAGGCTCAGGAACCTGTACACCTGTTGATTGATGGTTGAGAGGCGGGACCAAAGACCCAGAGCTTAACCCCCGTAAGCACAACTAGGTGAGTACAACTAGGTGAGTATATACACAAGGAGACACAGGTGTGTCCCTTGGGCTGGCTAGGCTATCCATTTACTGGTGGATAGCACGCAGGACTCGTAATTATGTGACGCGGGTTCGATTCCCGAACCAGGCAGAAACAAATAGGCAAAGTTTCTTTCACTCTGAATGCCCCTGTTACCTCGCAGTAAATAGATACCTTGGAGTTAGTATCACGGGCTGCTTCCTGGGGTGTGTGTGTGTGTGGTGTGAAAAAAAAACATTTGTTAGTAAACAGTTGACTGACAGTTGAGAGGCAGGCCGAAAGAGCAAAGCTCAACCTCCGCAAACACAACTAGGTGAATACACACACACAAAGCGTCAGCGGGTGATCGGATGGGGAAATTTTCCGTCGTTCATCACACAAATGATTAACATTGGGTTCTTGTGCTGTGTCTACAGCCTCAACGAGGGCCATTTGGTGGAACAGTCAACATTTAAATTAAAAAAAACTACATGAATTCAACAAACAAAACATTTAACCAAATACAGTCACTTAGTGCCTTGGAAAGTACCAAAATACTGGCACTTAGTGTCTTTGAGGAGACCCCTGGACTGAATCAGCGAAGCCATGATTACTAATCGAATAGAAGATAAATAATCCCAGAAAATGCAATGGAAAATTATTTTTTTTTTCAGAAAAATCTGAGGAATCAAATTAAACCAAAAATAGAAACAGGTAAAATAACCCGTGGAAAAATAGTTTTCCTGTACAGTGAAATAATAAATTATAACATTAGTGAGAAGCAGCGGTGAAGTAAGAGAAGAATTGGGGTGGGGGGGGGGGGGAGGTCACTATCAAGCCCCAGTCTGTAAGGTAACAATAGTCTGTGTGTGGTTCTTAATGGAATTAAGACTGGCTTCCGTGTACGATCTAAACATCAATACATGTCTGAAAATCCGAAGGTCTCAACAGTTCCATACAATGGCCTTTAATCACAAGCCCCAATCCTACAATCTGCTTGTAATTATGTTACATTACAATCACGAAGAATACCCATACCAATATTGTTGGGGATTCTTATACCCATCTGTGTATATTAATGTCGTTTGCCCTTCGTTTTATAATCAGGTAATTGATTACAATCACTTTATATAAAGTCTGATACTGACAATCACCACAACAAGATTGTCCTATAGGTAAGGTAATTATCAGGAGAAAGTGCTAAGAAATTCCGACTATATAGCACTTGTAAGGGATATGAGGATAAGGATTTAGGATAGTATGAGTTATTGAGTACAATGCAATCCCAGTAACGTGAATTATCTAGATAAAAAAAATAATATGGTAATGAGATAGGAGAGAAAAGGCGTGTATAGCCTCCAAACTATGACGAGCTTCAGAAACCGAACAATCATCAAACGAGTGATTGTTCGAGAGCAGTAGAGTGACTTGAAGAGTGCTATCAAGAGCCGAGAAGGTGCTATATAAACAAAAACACATGATATTTATCATAACCATAAACAAATAACTCACAACTAAACAAACTTACATATTACCTAAACAACTTCGTCCTCTCAAACATTACCACCGTGAACAAACCATCAAATAATTTCCCCTTGATATTTGTCCCATTCTCCGCCTAATTCCGTTCATAAATGTTCCTCCTCTTGAGAAATATTTTGGAAAATAGCCAATAGAGATCTGTTTATATGTTCATATATTCTCTCTCTTTCGTTCAAGCGGCAGGACCGCCTGGACAATACGGTTCATTTGCGTAACGCAGCAGGGTACGGGTAGCGAACCCTGGCATGCGAATGGTTCGATCCGTATGACAAGGTAGCAATAAACACTGAGGTCCATGGCCATGATGGCTCTGATTATTATAGGGGGAACCTTGCCCAGATGTTCCAGGTGTCTGCCATCGATAGAGAGTATTGAGGCTGCAGTGTGATGGTGAAAGGATGGTGGAGGATGCAGTGTGACGGTGATAGTTTGGTGACAATTTAGTCTTATGGTGACAGGATGATGGAGGTTCCGATGTGATAGTGACAGGATTATGGAGACTGCAGTAAGATATTGACGGAATGGTGGAGGCTGCAATTTATATATTTACAGAATGATGAATGCTATGCAGTTTACCTGTGACCTGTTTCGAGAAGTCTTCTACTCCTACAGCCCAGCCTGAGGCCAGGCTTGTTTGGTGATAACTTGTTTAGTCAGGTTGTTGTTTGCCACGGGCCGCAAGCCCCAAAACAACAACAACTCTGCTGATCCAGAATTTCCTGAAGGAATTTGTCAAGTTGCTTCATGAAGGGATTTATCAGAGGAATGCGCCAAGCCATTACGACTGTATGTCACTGGGAAGGGGGTCAGGATAAGGGTTAAGGATGGAATGGGGAGAAGGAATGGTGCCCAACCACTTGGACGGAGGAGGTTCGATATCTGTGGGTCACTGATGCTGATGTTCACGCATGTATTCCCAGAGTGCGTCTATTACACACGACTCCTCAGTGGGCCGGTTCCATTTACCGTTTGTTATATCTATTTCCAGTAAGCTTTATATTTTGTGTTTTTATTGGGAAAGTTTATTCTGACTGTAATTTTGGTGTTTAACTGTATCTATGCGTGATGTATATGTTCTCTCTATTCCTGCTATTACAGGGCAGCGAGTATTGAGTCGAATCGAAGGTAGAGAAGCACAAATGATTTGCAAAAGTCAGGTAATTGTGGTGGAATTCTTGAACTTGCAAATGTTGTAATAATTCATCCTATCACATTCCTGATTGATACTGGATTTGTTCTCTTATATTCGGTGATCATTAAATCGTCTGATATCGTTATTCCTAGATCCTTTATAGATCGTTTCCATTCGTTAAGGAGATCTGATTGCGTCTTATATTCTATATCTCTATGCAGATACAGGATATACCTAATCTATATGGTAGATTAATGTTATCATTTTTCCCACATTTATATAACTTAAAGTTATCATAACTGAACTGTTTGCACCGACGATTAGAGGAAGATATTATTCATAATTAGTAAGTGCCTTTAAGTGAGGCAATATTTGTAATTATTTCGGAATCGTTGGCAAAAGATAACATGAAGCATCCTTATGTGCTTTTGTCTATCTGTTTTTAAAATAAGAAAGAGTAATGGAACAGGCAAAGGGTAGAACAAGGTAACAGGAATTTGGTAGAACAGTTAACAGGCATTTGGTAGAACAGGTAAAAGGAAAAAAAGAAGAGTAGAACATGCTAAGATAATGAAGGGGCAAGAACAGGCTATAAGATAATAACTCGGAGGAGTAGGTTATAGGCTCGATAATAGTAGAACTGTTTAGGCTGCTGAGAATGCAAAAAGAAAAACAAGCAAGTATACTGACACTGTAGCTGGATTTCCTGGACAGACTGGCAGGGATGCTGGAACCTGTTGATGATGAGTTTACACATCGTCAACATGTGTAGATGTTGATGATGTGTAAACTCATCAACATTTACAGAATGTGGCCAGGAAAAGATGGCCACCGTTCAACAGTTCAGGAACGGTATCCAGATTTTGCAAGTTAATATAAAGCCGTTGTGATGCAAGATGCTGAAGAAGATATAATCACCAAATGAGAATTGATCGATGTTTCAAGAACCTCTTTGTTCCGATAGAGTTACGGATGGCTTACTCTGAGTTAGGATGAGGCAGGTATGAGTTAAAATGAGGAATTAATGAGCTAAGATGAGGAACGGATACACTGATATAAAGCGCGGATGGCTTGAGATGAGGCAAGGATGAATTAAGATGAGGTTTGGATCACGTGAAATGAAACATGGATGAGGTGAGATGGGTCTATGATCAGTCGACATGAAGCCAAGACGAGATGAAATGAAGCACGAATAACTTCAGATGAGGCTTTGTTCAACTGAAACGAGGAGGGGATGAATTAATATGAGAAACGGGCGAATTGGGATGAATAATAGGTAAAATTATATGAATCACAGATGAGTTGAGATGAGGCAGGGATGCTGTGACGTATTCTCTGCTCGGTATAATGATATGTTGTTACAGTGGAGTTTTTCCTCTGCGTGGCAACACTTTTCTGTTCAGGGTCAGTGTTTTGTCAAGGATCCTGTTTTGCGCGTGTGTGTTGCTTTGATGTGGAAAAGGGCTTTTGCCTTTTTGGGTAACCGAGACGTAGTTGATAAACAATTTGTGTTACTTTTAGGATGTTGTATGTTGAAGCCAGACGACTGTAGGGAAGATTTTATGGTTCAACTTAGGGCTCCAGCCTTACATATGCGTTCGAAAACATATGTGCCTGCATATTACAGTAAATGGACTCTTGAGCTGAGTTTTAAAATGATGGTGTTTGAAGCATGATATGAGGAAGCATGAAGTGTTTGAAGGAAGATTTGAAGCCCAGCTTAAAATGGAGAAGTCAAAGAGCGAAAGCTGTTAAGAAAGGAAAAAAAAACATTAAAGGGAAACACCGGCTACCGGAAATGAATACCGAACGATAATCAAATTAACAGGAGGTGGTTAATGTGTGTATTAGCAGAGCAGGCCAGAAAGTCACAGGCATCAGGATGATGGGATGGTTTTTCCTTTGTTTCTGGGAAAAGCAGGTCGAAGCATATATCAGTTAATTGGTGTACAAGGTACAGCTTAGAGGGTGACTATTTGGAGGGTGACTATTTGAATGGTGACTACTTGGAGGGTGACTACTTGGAGGGGTGACTACTTGGAGGGTGACTACTTGTAGGGTGACTACTTGGAGGGTGACTACTTGGAGGGTGACTACGTGGAGGGTGACTACTTGTAGGGTGACTACTTGTAGGGTGACTACTTGTAGGGTGACTACGTGGAGGGTGACTACTTGTAGGGTGACTACTTGTAGGGTGACTACTTGGAGGGTGACTACTTGTAGGGTGACTACGTGGAGGGTGACTACTTGGAGGGTGACTACGTGGAGGGTGACTACTTGTAGGGTGACTACTTGGAGGGTGACTACTTGTAGGGTGACTACTTGGAGGGTGACTACTTGGAGGGTGACTAAAGAAGCTGAGGGGAGGTTTGCTGGTGGTTATACCGAGGGCACAAGCGAGGTTAATAGGGCTGAGGTCCGGCATTTCCTGGCCTGTTGCACACAACCGGTTACAACGGACGTACGAGGTCAGCCCAGAAAAAATGGGGGGAAGCAATGGTCTGCGTAGTCGGCTTGCAACCGAGGGTCCCACATACATCAGATGCAGCTATTTATCTATAGGTTAATAGGTACTCGGGAGATAATGATCGCTGGTTGCATTCTTGGAAACAGTCAAATAGAGCAGTTAGGGGAGGAGGAACTTTAAAACATTTAAGTGCTTGTTTCTTGTCCCTTAAAAACAGGAAAGCAATTACAATATTATCTCAGATAATAAGCTTGTGTAGAAGAGAGGTAGCGCCATGCAGGATGCTAGACTTTTGCAAAAGGGAAGGGAACTATCAGGAGAAATCGCTATAAGCCATTACGACTTGGAAGGAATCAGGATAAGGATTTGGGATGCGACGTGGGGTAAAGGAAACGTGTCCTGCCACTTGAACGATCGGGGATTTAACACCGACCTGCATGAATCGCCACCGTCCCTCTACCGTTCACCCCAAGTGGTTGAACTTTTGCAAAAAATGGGTATTGATTCAGCACAGACTTTCTGGGGTGGCCACAGTGACGAGGTCTGATTCACCCAGTTCCCTCGAGTGGATGATTGTATTGAGACGGTGGGAATGACCCAGTTCATCACCAAGGTAGATCTGAAAGGGTTATGCAAGTCCGTTTAACAGAGAGAGCGAAGCTTTCGTTAAAAACACATTCGTAACCTTGATGGATTGTCTCGCTATAACCCACTACCTTTCCGTATGAAAAATATCTGAACTCATTTCAATAACTATTAACAAAAATAGTGAATTGAAAATATAGAACGATTTCCCATATATATGGATTCCAGCATAATATGCTCAGTTGATTGGGATAAGAGGATTATATAGTCGTAGGGCTTTATATAATCGTAGCCATTACGACTATTAAGCATAGGATAAACATTTGAGAAATATGATTCAGATGTTTAAGATATTGTACACGACAAGCCTCAATTATCCTCAGGTAAACATTGTGTTTACGAAGGCAAGAGCTGAGTACCCAACATATGTTAGGGACCACAGGAAGTAATCTCCCCATAACAATATCGTCAGAACAGATAGAAATGATAACATCTTTTTTCTCCCTTTTTTGCTTTTTTTTTGTGCAGCACTCAAGGAAGTTATATTTACAGCATTTTGAGAATATTTTCATTCATAACAGTTATCGCTATCAAACCAATGCGCCTACAAACTTCGTAAGCGATGAACGACTTCGATTTTTAGCCGTCGAATTCCGGCTCGAATCCCGATAGAAGCGGAAACAATTTGAAATAGTATTAAATAGGTAACTGGGAGATATAACTTTTGGAGGCTGCATCGTGGGGAGGGTCAGTAGTTCCCCCTAGTAGTTAGACATGAATACACACGCTCACACACATATGACTGACCGCACACATGACTTCCAGCACACAAGGATACACTCACTCGTCAATTGACAGAATCCAGGGAAGATTGACTAGTAACCAATACGTGGCTTTTCGCGCTTAGTTCACCCAAAACCTATATGGGACCTGGAAGATAAACCAATTAACTGGTCGAGTTCCAGGGTAAAACTAATATTATATAAAACATCCCATGAACTATGGGAATGGGAATACTCTCGGCAAGCTAACATGGGCGTCAGTTCTCTCTTGAACCCACGTGAATAAACAAAAATACCAGAGAGAAAGAGTCAAACAGAAAATAAACATTACTTATGTAATAGGGTTCATCATAAAAATTGGAAGGGTAGTTTCCACCGGTGTAACCAGACCTGTGATCTTCACGCCAACAGCCATAACTGTCATCAATTATAATTTATTACTAGATTTGCTTCCATTAATTTATCAAATAATTTTTTATTTTACAAAAAATGGCCGTTTCCGTAACGAAATGCTAATTAACAGCACGGTAGAGATATATTTTACAAACATCCTTTACGTAAATATATCTGGTCAGCGCACACATTCTCGGAAAATTTAAATGGCGCAAAATTGTTTGATATCATTAATTCACTTTTTGAAATGAAAACTGGAAGCATTAATTGACATAGGGTGAGAGTGATTTGTATTTATTATGTCGTAAGTTCCAGGACGTCCTCAATGGGCCAGCTTACGTAACTGTGTTTATTAGATGGTACTATAATCTATCTCTATAGGTTAGGTTAGCTTAGGTAGCCGAGAAAGTTAGGTAATGTTAGGTTAGGTAGTCGAAAAACAATTAATTCATGAAAACTTGGCTTATTAGGCAAATTGGGCCTTGCATAGTAGGCTGAGAAGTACGTTCTGGCTACTAGGTACGACATATATATATATATATATATATATATATATATATATATATATATATATATATATATATATATATATATATATATATATGTCGTACCTAGTAGCCAGAATGCACTTCTCGGCCTACTATGCAAGGCCCGATTTGCCTAATAAGCCTAGTTTTAATGAATTAATTATTTTTCGACTACCTAACCTACTTAACCTAACCTAACTTTTTAGGCTACCTAACCTAACCTAACCTATAAAGATAGGTTAGGTTAGGTTAGGTAGGGTTGGTTAGGTTCGGTCATATATCTACGTTAATTTTAACTCCAATAAAATAAATTGACCTCATATATAATGAAATGGGTAGCTTTATCATTTCATTAGAAAAAAATTAGAGAAAATATATTAATTCAGGAAAACTTGGCTTATTAGGCAAATCGGGCCTTGCATAGTAGGCCGAGAAGTGCGTTCTGGCTACTAGGTACGACATATATATATATATATATATATATATATATATATATATATATATATGTCGTACCTAATAGCCAGAACGCACTTCTCAGCCTACTATGCAGGGCCCGATTTGCCTAATAAGCCAAGTTTTCATGAATTATTATATTTTCTCAAATTTTTTTCTTATGAAATGATAAAGCTACCCATTTCATTATATATGAGGTCAATTTTTTTTTATTGGAGTTAAAATTAACGTAGATATATGGCCGAACCTAACCAACCCTACCTAACCTAACCTAACCTATCTTTATAGGTTAGGTTAGGTTAGGTAGCCGAAAATGTTAAGTTAGGTTAGGTTAGGTAGGTTAGGTTGTCGAAAAAACATTAATTCATGAAAACTTGGCTTATTAGGCAAATCGGGCCTTGCATATTAGGCTGAGAAGTGCGTTCTGGCTATTAGGTACGACATATATATATATATATATATATATATATATATATATATATATATATATATATATATATATATATATATATATATATATTAGTATATTTTGGTAGCAGTCTTTCCTGTAGACATATATTATTAAATATGACCGAAAAAGTAAGATTAATAATTCTAACACGAATTTTCTCAATCTTTCGTACATTTCTTTTCACTGTTGGAGGTAAATCAAAAATCAATTCTCCAAAATTCATTTTTATTTCTAGTCTGATGCGACACGAGCGCGTTTCGTAAAACTTATTACATTTTCAAAGACTTTTAGTTCACAAATACACAACTGAATAGAACTTACACATCTCCGATTTTATATCTACATTTGAGTGAGGTGGAAGGGGTGATGTGGCATTAACACAAGACAGAACAAGAGGTGCCATTAATAGGGTATTAATTTCATCAACACAAGACAGAACAAGAAGTGGTATTAATAGGGTATTAATTTCATCAACACAAGACAGAACACGAAACAATGGGTATTGAATAGAAGTGTTTGTAGAAAGCCTATTGGTCCATATTTCTTGATGCTTCTATATTGGAGCGGAGTCTTGAGGTGGGTAGAATATAGTTGTGCATTAATTGGCTGTTGATTGCTGGTGTTGACTTCTTGATGTGTAGTGCCTCGCAGACGTCAAGCCGCCTGCTATCGCTGTATCTATCGATGATTTCTGTGTTGTTTACTAGGATTTCTCTGGCGATGGTTTGGTTGTGGGAAGAGATTATATGTTCCTTAATGGAGCCCTGTTGCTTATGCATCGTTAAACGCCTAGATAGAGATGTTGTTGTCTTGCCTATATACTGGGTTTTATGGAGCTTACAGTCCCCAAGAGGGCATTTGAAGGCATAGACGACGTTAGTCTCTTTTAAAGCGTTCTGTTTTGTGTCTGGAGAGTTTCTCATGAGTAGGCTGGCCGTTTTTCTGGTTTTATAGTAAATCGTAAGTTGTATCCTCTGATTTCTGTCTGTAGGGATAACGTTTCTATTAACAATATCTTTCAGGACCCTTTCCTCCGTTTTATGAGCTGTGGAAAAGAAGTTCCTGTAAAATAGTCTAATAGGGGGTATAGGTGGAAAGCCAGTAGGCTTTCTACAAACACTTCTATTCAATACCCATTGTTTCGTGTTCTGTCTTGTGTTGATGAAATTAATACCCTATTAATACCACTTCTTGTTCTGTCTTGTGTTGATGAAATTATTACCCTATTAATGGCACCTCTTGTTCTGTCTTGTGTTAATGCCACATCACCCCTTCAACCTCACTCAAATGTAGATATAAAATCGGAGATGTGTAAGTTCTATTCAGTTGTGTATTTGTGAACTAAAAGTCTTTGAAAATGTAATAAGTTTTACGAAACGCGCTCGTGTCACATCAGACTAGAAATAAAAATGAATTTTGGAGAATTGATTTTTGATTTACCTCCAACAGTGAAAAGAAATGTACGAAAGATTGAGAAAATTCGTGTTAGAATTATTAATCTTACTTTTTCGGTCATATTTAATAATAAATATATATATATATATATATATATATATATATATATATATATATATATATATATATATATATATATATATATATATATATATATATATATATTGGTGTATACTGGCAGCAGGTTTTCTTTCAAACATGTTTCATTGAATATGACCGCATATTCTGTATTTATTATTTTCTGGTTTAGGGCTTCTATCCCTCTAACTATTTTCTTAGCATCAGGGCTTAATTGAAATAGGAGTTCTCCAA